GTTGAAATACAGGAGCCGAAGTTAAATGGGGAAAGCTGGTTTCTTTCCCGTGCGCCCTTTGACTTCCCCACAAGAGGCAAATGATGAGTATAATTATCAGCACGTTGACAACTATCTTGAGGCTCAGAAGACATGGCTGTGGCTGACCAGACTATGTGTGGCAAACCTTCAGGAACCTGGGAAGGGGTTGTCCCAAATGGGTTAGCAACTGGATGAACGAAGGATAGTTCCAGAGCCAGCGAGCAGTGGGAAGCAAGAGGGTAAAGTTCCCAGCAACCCCGAAGTGCAGGAGACAAAGGACACAGCAAATGGAGAGAGGTGAGCAGGCAGCAGAGGCAGGAAAACGAAATAAAAGCCAGGACTGTGGCCTGACCTGTCGTCACGCCTCTCAGATGCTGTGCGGTGTGCAGGCGAGAGGCCCGCAGATGGAGACCTCTGGGCCACATGGCTGCACCCCACTCTTCCCTCCCAGGACATTCGTCTCTGATTCATGGACTAGCCTCAGCTTGTTTCTTTGGCCAATCACTGCTGAATCTGAAATGACACCTCTTCCAGAATCTTTGTGTACATTCCAGACTTCTCAGGAATAAAGCAAGACTGCAGTGTCAAGCGTGGAACACTGGCAGATTGCATTTCCAAAGCAGTTAAGAATTGTGGGGCCTCACAGCAAACTTCAGTTCTGAATAAGACAGGAAAAGTGCTGCTTAAATCCATGTGTGGTTCTTGACTGCACAACAAAATAGTAAAATCATATTAGGCTATGGCAACGTGAGGTTTTAGAAAAAGGCCATGAGGCAGGGAGGAGTACACTGTATTGTCAAGGTGCAGAATAGGATTTTTAAGATGGAAGTGGTAACTCGGTTTCATGTCCTCGATTTTATGGGTAAGGACACTGAGGCCAAATGAAATATTTTGCCCCCAAACCACAGGCACTTGGTAACTGGTCGGGGACTAGAATTCCAGCCTTCCCCAATTCTAGCTCAATGTTCTTTCCACTACATTTACTTTTAATATTAAACGGCAAAAGGGTGTTTTTGTTATAGCCAGATGCCAAAGAAGCAATTAAAAAGTGGGCTCTTTACGGCAACGGCGTGTTGATTTTTTGCAAGTCTGGTGTAATATCCACAGCTGTCGATTTCATTTAGTAAATCTCGGACATGGCCTACAATTAGGAATTCGCTTTCGAAGAGCTGGAGGGAGGTAAGGGAGAAGGATTTACCAGAGGACTTCTTTAATCGAAACTTAAGATCAGAAATGAACATCCGACCGAATGCCTTTGAATGAAGGTGAGAGGAAAAAAATCTACCCTTATCTGAAATATTCTGGTCATAAACTTTTCTCCCTTTTCGTGCCCAGGCTCCTCACTCTCATTTCTCCTCCCCACCTACTCCCCAATACCCATTCCTCTTGCACTCATTTTCTGCAGCTCATTTTCTCACTTGAGTTGGTGAACATAAGTATCTAAATTGCCCATTTACACATCAGCTGACCTTTCTTAGAAACTTTCAGAATTTTTTTTTTTTAATTTAAAAAATTTCTGGTTTGTGTTTCTACAGCTATCATAATAGTTTGGTCAAACTGTTATATCACTTCTATCATTCTTTATAAAATAACTGGATTGCTTCACATTTTAAACTTTGATTTCCAGGGGTCCTTATTTTAAAAGGGTTCCTTATTTTAAACCTCCACCTTCATCTCTGATGCTACAAATCTCCTGGGCCTTCCCAAACTTTGGTTTCGAGGTTTGGCCTATTTTAAAAGGACATAAAGTTTGACGTCAGTGTGACCGAGACATTACACGTCTTGAAACTCCTGCTAGGATCCCAACCCAGTGCGACCAGAAAACTCGGTGAAAGTTCTCTGTAGGGTGCTGCATGGCGACTCCCAAAAGGTATGTCCTAGTCCTCACTCCAGTACCTGTAGATGTGATCTTATTTGGGGAAAAACGGTCTCTGCAGATGTTACGGAACTGAGGCTCTCGCGATGAGCTCGGCCTAGATTATTATTAAGAGGGTGGGCCCTAAATCCAATGACAGATGTCCTTATATAAGAAACAGAAATGGAGAAGACACGAGAAGAGGCCACGGGAAGTCAGAGGCAGAGAACGGAGTTATGCAGCGTAAACCAAGGAACTCCTGGGGCCCCCAGAAGCTGGAAGAGGCAAGGAAGGATGCTTTCCCAGAGCCTCTCCTTGATTTAGGACTTGATTCTGGTCTCCAGAACCATGAGAGAAACCTCTGGAGACGAGGAGCAAGGTTGACCCGCGACCCCCGTGCTTCTGATGTAATCAGTCCTCCTGGGGTCTGAGAGTCCAGCATTTCAAAAGCTCCCCACGTGTCTGGATGTGCAGCCAAGGTGAAACAATTACCATCTCTCTGATCCAGATGAGGATCCTGAAGCTCACCGGTGATCAGTGACTTTTCCACAGTCCTCCAGGATTCAGGCTCAGGGCTGCCGACTCCCAGGCCTGGCTCCCAAACCCTACACCCCGTGGACAGGACATTCCCATTTGAAATTTTCGCACGATCTGTCAGAGGAGAGTCGGTCTCCTCATCTGCAGAATGCTGTTAAGGCTAACTCCCCTCGGGGCTGTTGCAAGGATAACGTTGGCAAAGTCCCTAGTCTGACACCGACAGATGGCGTGTCATCCACAGGCAACATCCCTGAGAGATAAGAGGCACGTGACACAGAAACATCCTTTAGAGAGACTGTAATGCAATTTCCTCAGCTCTCAGCAAGCTCCTCAGACGAAGGCGGTGGGAATATCCGAAGTGCCTTACACTGATTATTACTTTGTTATCCTGTGGACTAGTGTATAGAAAAATGCTGATAAGCGTCAACAAAAATATGACTGCCAACCACCATGCAGGTGTCCTCGTGTCAGTGAAAGACTGGGTGGACACTTCCATTTTCCGGAAGCTGTCCCCTGTTGGTGTCCCTAAGGACGGGGGTGGAAGAAATCCCAAGAGAAGGATTTCTGCTTACTGGGCACTGTGACTA